AAAAGTCAGGACTTTCTTACTGTAAGGAAATGTCATTTCCTTACTGTAAGGAAATGATATTTCCGTACAGTTGTTAGTGTTCTACATAAATGATAGAAAACACATTGCTTATAAGAAATTAATTTATATTTTGAAAACATCAAGTCATTGCTGAATACATTTTTAAGATCAATTTGTTATATTTACAGTAATTTGACAGTTAGTACAATTATTGAACATTGGAGGAACACTCTTAGAACTATGAGAAACATTTTGGACAACATGCAGGGTGGAAGTGTCATTTGTTGAATATTTTGTACTGTGAAAATTTTATTTGCCACCTCAACCTTATTGTTAAGCGATTCTTCGATATATCCTTCAGCAACATTTGATGACTTCCATCCGCCATGCCTCTTTAAACTAGTTATGTCGGCACCAGAGTCAACCAATATTGTTGCAGAAGACCGACGAAAGCAGTGACCAGTATATTCTGTCGGATTTACCAAGTTCAAATAAGTAGCAATTATTTTGGGCATTTTTCTAAATTGATGAATTCCTACCACTGTCTACAACCTTTCCGCTTTGATATTTAAAGAAAAATCGATCACTGTTCATATTTTCTGGTCTTAACGAAACATACTTTCGATAAACATTCAAGTAGATCTGATTAATTACAAATGATCTTGGTTTGTTGGCTTTCGAATCAGGTATGCTGATTAAAAGCTTAGATTCTAAGTCTTCTATATCGTGTACAGTCATTCGGACTAACTGATCCATTCTACAGGCCCCAGAAATACCAAATATTACAGCCACCTAAAAAATAAATAAAGCTATAATCTAAATAGAAATTAAAACCTTGTAAATTACCTTAATCATTAAATTTTCTTTATCTGGAGCTTCCTGGATAAATTTTTCAATTTCTTCCTTCGTTAAAATCTTAGATTTCTTTGCCCTATAACCTTGAGCTTGCCGTTTCAATAAAGAACGAAGTTTTGAGTATTGTAGATATATCTACATTGTGTTTAAGTGCAAGGGTTGACTTCAGCATTGAATAATTGGCCCATAATGTTGAAGATTTCATCTTTAAACAAAGGTCTAGGAAGTATGCCATTACAACATTTTCTGAGAAAGAACTCGTATTTTTACTCATGCGATAATCCATAAAACGTCTGTATGCATTTTCGTACTTTTCTCTTGATTTCTTTGGCAATAATTCTAATGAAGCAGTATTCACTGCCTCAACCAGCTCTGGAGGAGTCCCAGGAATGGAAATTTCATCATCACTTATCATTTTACTTTCGAGAACACCAGCAATTAAATTTATAAGCGTCAATTTTGACAATTCAACCTCAATACGTTTCCATAGTAACCCAAGTAATTTTATTAGGAATTTCAAAGCACCATTATATTTGGGAATAAAATTATCGCGTTTTTTTTAATCAATCAATATCTGTCGAATTTTAAACGATTTGCGGAAAAATAGTATGTTTACCTCGTAGGAAAAGCCACATTCCTGGACTCTGTGTTGCTAAGTCTCGGCTTGCGCCTCGACTTAGCAATCTTCACGGTCGTCCAGGAATGTTAAGCTTTTCCTACCCGGTAAACAATGTACTATTTCAAAGTTTGGACTTAAATCCGATAGAGTCCATATGGGCAGAGCTAAAACGCCGCTATAGAAAAAAAATATCATGTCCCGAGTGCAACAATAACTTTTATTTGCAGCATAATATAAATGAAACAATTTTCCCCAAGAATACAGTCAAAATATTTAAACCCTAATATTAGTAGCATGCTAAAAAGGATGCAACGAAAAGGAAATATGTACCTACTTGTTACAAGTCAGTTTTTACTACACAATACAGATTAAATTTTAATTGTTTATTTTTATAACATTTAATACATAATTTGGCATAATTCTGTTAATTAAATTCTATTAATGTTTATTTTATAATTTTTATAATAAACTATTCTAACTACTATAAGCAAGTAATTTTTTTAAAAAGAAATTCTGAAAATTTTGTATTATTGGATAATTTTGTCGATGAGTGTACATTTTAAAATATTTAAGGATTATTATCTTCTTAGTTTTACTTCGACATGAAAAAATGAACCAAGTGTTCATTCGGGTTCAAGTTACTTAAAATATGGATTAATAAAAAAAAAAGGACAAAAAAGAAGTCCATCGCGTGATCGGTCCAGATCTCTTCACCTGTCATGTCGTGTCATCTACTGAACAAATTAACTCTTTAAGTGGAACATAATCCAGCAATTGGGTTTCGTCAAAATCGTCTGGGGTTTTGTCTTAAAGACACTGGCGTAGGTGTAAAAGGATGTAATAGGATATTAATATATAGTATGTAATAGAATATAATAATATTATATAAAAGATATTTGTGTAAATTTTCATTATTTTTTAAATTAGTTTTTCATTATCATAAAAAAATCAGTTAACGAATATATTACATTTAACAATAGAAACTTGGGAGAATTATTTTCACACTCTGTATAGCCGAAAAAGCTATTTAATACAATAAAGTTGCTTTCATGAGCTTCATTGTAACGTTACGTCCCTCCACACATATTCTTATTTTTAATTAAGTATTTCTTATTATTTTATTTTATATTTAATTATTTTATTAACGTGTGTGTGTATGTCTTACAATCGTAAATTAATACGGCCCTGGACAGTCTACCCCTAGTAGACTTTTAGGGAATGCAAAGCTACCATAGTACACGCACCTTAATTTCAATCAATATTGTATAAATCGGCGCGCTAAATACTTCAGTATATTTTGTGTAAACTTGACGCGGCTAAGAAGAGTCCCTGAAGCCACCCTGAGTTCCCCCAGTGCACTGTGGAAGAAGCAGACGTAGATCAACATAACAGGTACCGTAATTTGATTGCATACACACACAACATTTATATTAATTGATAAATTTACATATAACTTATTTTCATATTAAAAATAATACCAGCGGCTATCTAAATAATTTTGTACGAGTGTTTTCTCTAAATAAAATATACAATTGTTTACAATGAGCTTCATTGACCTTACTCAAGCCTTTGATAAGCTGAAGCTTGCTGTGATGATGTTCTATTAAAGTAATTAATACCAAAAAAAATTGAAATTAGTCGATAATTTAACATCGCTAAGGGTACTTTCTTAAAAGCAAACAATACGCTATCCAACACGATACCAGTCTTAACAGGAATTGCTATAGAAGAAACAATATAGAGTTTAAAATAATTCGCTACGCTGATGATGCGATAATAATATCCGAAGATAAGAAGAATCTACAGAGACGCCACAGAAACAGTATCAAAAATAACCACTACTAAGCAACTATTAGTAACGACATAAATGAAGTCTCTAAGAACAATTACTCGCAAAACAGTTAAAGATAGAGGGAGGAGCAACAATATAAGGACCCTGTGTAACATCCGAGATGTTGTAAAATGGTCTAGAGTCAGAAAAATACCTTGGAGAGACAACGTTGATAGAATGGGTGCTGCAAGATTTAAAAGGAAGAGAAACCGAACACAAGCAGACCACCTGAAATCACTTTCAAACGTTGGTATAAAATCTGGACATAGAAATCCCAACTTAGGGTACCATTTTGAAAAAACAAGACATTGTCTTAAAATAAGAAATAAAAGAGACGTTTCATTTAATTTTATTTTGTTTTATATAAATTCCTTTCTTTCTTTATTCATTATTTTTGTCACTATTCTTATGTGGAGTCGGCTTTCCCAATTACAGTTTCTACCTTGGGTCATACCAGTATTCATACCTCTCATTATTAAAGTTTATGGCGGTGATACAGGGTTATGAAGCAAAAACAAAGATTTTGTTTAATGTAAATTTTTTAGAGAAATTTCTATGGAGTTGTTATGTTAAGTGGGATTTGATTATCTATATTATTATGATATTAATTTTGCAGGATATTTTTGAAAAACTGTTTTAAGATATTTAGCAAAAGTTTCTGTTTTCTCTGTATTACTTTTGTGATGAGCCATATTTGGTGGAGGTAGTGGGGTTGAAGAGTTGAGAACGTTCTTTTTACATAGGTCTTTTCTTTAGAGTGAATAGTTGGTAGCTACTGAAGGTATCAGATTGATTGTACTAGATTGGTTTATTTCCTGGACTGTCGTTGTTTCCTATGCAGTTTTTTATATCGATTGGTTAAAATATTATTTGGCAGAGTCTATTTTCATGTTCGTTTTTAGTCTGATATTTAGTACTAATGTCATCATTCAGATTCAAAAGTATACTGCTGAACATAGGTCTTTTCCTCGTGTTTCCAATACCGTCTAGCTTG